CACAAAAAATTAGCTGGGGGTGGTGGCGGCGACCTGTAGTCCCAGCTACTCGGGAGGCTGAGGCAGGAGAATGGCGGGAACCCGGGGGGCGGAGCTTGCAATAAGCGGAGATGGAGCCACTGCACTCCAGCCTGGGCGACAGAGGGAGACTCCGTCTCAAAATTAAATAAATAAAAATAATAATATTCACACCAATGAGCCGGTTGGTTAGCAACATGTGCTGAGAGGCACCTCTGTGGGAAGGACTGTTCTAGGTCCTCTGGGGAGATAGAACATCTCCACAGTTTACAACAGCAGGGCATGCACAAGACCTAGAGAGAACCACAGCAACATCCGGGGATGTGCAGTTACGTGGCGTGTGAATCACAACCCCGGACGCCAAGGGGTTGCAATGAACGGCACCACCTGACCGTATTTTCTATGACATCTGTGGACCGGTAAGGTCATATCCTCATTACATAAGGCCGTATTTATTCTTCCTCTATTCATCCTCATATTTTTAGGCTTATTATTTATTCTCAATCTCCACCCACTTGAATTTAAGCTTCATGAAAGGAGGGATTTTTATGTGATTTGTTGACAGATATATCCCAAATGCTGACAGACCGTGGCACACAGTGGGCTCGCAATAAATATTTGCTGAATGAATGAATTTAACCATTTCCACAATGGACAGATGGGGACATCTGTTCGGATGGATTTGCTGATGTGTTTGAAGGAAATTTCAGAATCAATGTGGATGTACGTTGACGATATTTTTTCTTCTATTCTTGTATTTAATTTTCCCAGCCTAAAAGACACAGGGCTAAATCTATTTGAAGGTCTTGGAAGGATAACATCTGGTTTTAAACTGATAGTTAACAGGGGCTTGTGAAAGACATTTAAAAAAATTTTTTTTAAAGAAAAGCTGGCAGCTCTGGAGGATAACTTTGTAAATTGGTTGAAAAAAAATTAATGAAAGAAGAATTCAATTACCAACACCAAGTAACCTGTCTGAGTGAGTTTTTCTTTAATAAAGCAATTTTTGACTGGCTTGTTGACTCTTATTGGAGAAGCCAGACCAAATTAAATTCAAATTGCTTCTTCTTGGAAGCAAAACAAAACAAAATCTTCACTCCCTTCTGAGGCAAATTATCAGAGAAGATCCTAACCTCAAATCATGAAACAATTTATAAACAACTGCCTCCAAGGAAGCCAGATGCCACACAAATCTGACCTATGCACACAACTAGCTGGTGGAGACACCTGTGCGTTTTCAGGTAGAGGCCCTGTAAAAACACCTTGTTTATTTTTTTAAATGAAACTGAGTTAATATTAGCTAATAATTCCTGATTTCTTTTCTACTGACTTTTCAGACCCCAGCATTTCACAGTAAAATACAGCCTCCTGCATATTGAAATAATCCCCTTGCATATTTAATACAACAGCCATTAACTGCAGTTCAGTGATTGCAGTTCAGTGTATTGTAGGAATATCTAGGTTTAACCCGGGATTTCTCAGCACTTTGTGTTCTTCATGCGTCAAATTGCCTTGATGCCTAGATTCCTAAATCAAAGGGAACATAGTCTAATTTCAAATTGAAGTAAAAGAGGAATTGATGGGTATTGCCTTGTAGGCAAAACATAGCACAAAGCAACTAGTCTGATCCCACGAAATAGAACTGTTTGGAGAAAAATAAACTCAATATTTTAAACTCAAAGTCCCATTTCTGCCACATTTTGCTTTTCATTTCCTTTTAAAGGTTGTTCTTAAACTTTATTACCCTGCCACCCTTCTCCCTGACCTGTCTCCATTTCCCTGTCATTCCTGTGTGCCGGCGTCAGTGATTGGGATATCTGCAGCTTTGTCCCTCAGCACACTGTGGGCCCAAGGGAGGCAGACACCTGCTGTTAGCATGCTGGCGTGGTCCTCTGCTCTCATCATTCAAGAACTGAGCCTTCACAGCCTCCTGACCAGTCTCTGGACACACCTGTGCATCCCAGCTTGTCAGGCAGGGGTATGTTTTATTCATCACTAGATTCAAAGTCCATTGTCTGCCTGAAAGGAATATATGGTGCAAAGACTTGGAAAGAGGAAATTTCACTCAGAAACCAAATTGTTGATCGCCAATTCACCAAATGGCTCAGTCAGCAGATTTACTTGTTAACTCAGTCAGCAGATTTGCTTGGGAACTCTTGAGTTTCAGTTAATCAGTTTTTGTTTTGTCTTCACAGCATCAATGTAGAGACATTGAGCTGTCCCAGCTCCTGTTGCAGCTGGAAACTGAAGGGTGGAGAGAGACAGAGACTGAGAGAGTTTAGCAAGAATGTATTTTTGAAGAAAGATATCTTATGAATGTATTGTTCACTAATATATTGACCCATAGGAAGAATATATAAGAATTCTGAATATTTAAGAATCAATTAACAATTATATTCTTCATGAATATATTTATAAGAATGTTTTCAAGAGGAATATTTATAAGAGAAAATATTCACAAAGAATATATTCTCAAATATTAAGAATATATTCATAGAAACACTTCATAGTCACAAACACATTCTTCAGCCTTAGGAATTGCAGAGACAAACTGAATATTCCTTAAAATGAAACAAAGTTCAACATTCCAAAAGAAATAAGTAAATGTGGCAAGTCAGTCATGTGTTGGGTGGTTAAGACTGACTTCTACATCAAGCCAAGGTGTAGAACTCAGGGTTCAACCCTGGGCCTCAATCCAAACCCCAGCACTTTCCACGATCCTTCACTGCCTCCAACTCTTACTCAAAAGATGGAGATTCTTTGGACAAAGGTGACTTGTCCAAGAAATCCCAGGCGTATCTGAAAGTCAGTGCTCAGCAAAAGAAAGCTGTCATGACTTGCAATCCTGTGTTAACAAGGAGTCAATCTCTTTTGCTGTCACTCTTAGAAATGCTTTGGTACGTGGGTTCTACAAGGTCAGGAATTCTAATCACAGGGGAGAAGTGGTGTTCAAAGATTGTGAATGATAGCTTTTTAAAAAATATCCTAGGGCTGTTGCAAGTGAGAGAAATTTATTTTTTCTTTTTGCAAGAGTTATCTAAAATTACAGGCTTTCAAAGACTCTAGTCTCAGAAGTCCTAAGCTCCCTTAGGATTCATGCTAATGATCTAATTTCCAGCATCATGGTGTGTACTTATGATTGTGATGTACAAATGGTCCTTGGGGGAACTCTTTCTAATAACCTGGAAGTTTGTATTTCTTGAAGCCCTGTTGATAATTTTTTCCTTTGTCCCTGACTCGATTCACATTCCAGGGGGATCAGGAAAAGAGGAGCAGAGTCAGAGGCTAAGGCTGTGCCCAAGAGCAGCAAGGTCTTCAAGCCACCTGTGCCATTTCCAGGTGCTGCTTGGCCCCTGACAGTGGTGGGGTCCTCCTGGCAGAGTGAACAATCTCAACTCTTATGTTGCAAACCTTCCTGCAGAGCGTCAGGAGAGGGGGAAGGGAGCTGGGTGGAGGAAGCTGGATGTAGGTGGTCCAAGGCAGTTGGGCCCCTTGACGGCACCCCAGGGGCTCCTCCAAACATGAGTCACACCTAGAAGAGTGGGCCCTGCGGGGTCCTTGAAGGCTGTGTCAGGCTTGATGCAAACTTAAGGGGTTTGTTCCAGGAGATTCCTGGAAGTTTGGTCTTCTGTCGACTTAAAGGAATGGATTGTTGTTCCTGTTGTTTTCCTCACGCCTATTTAATGGCTGCTGTCAGGTGTCAGCGCCTTATATGTGCTGTTTACACTCACATCCATGCAGACATCCCCAAAATAAAATTTTTAAAAGCCCTGGAGAAGGTATTTTCTTATTTGTAGAGAGGTTACACCTATTTAGGAGGCTGCAGAGCTGGGATTTGCATTGAGTTGGGTAGGCTCACCTTGTTCATTGATACAACAAATCACTTACTGTGTGCCAAGTAAGTGCTAGATCCTATGCTAGGTGCTTAGAATAAATGAGCACTATTTATTTATAATAAATAAATAAATGGGCATGCCAGACCCAGTCTTTGTCCCCGCAGATCTTCTAGGCTAGGGATGAGGGACAAGTAATAACAATAGTGAACAGCAATGCAACAGGGAGGCGCAGCCTGCTGTGGGGCTCTTAAGTGAGTCAGGAACCCAAGAGTGACGGAGTCCAGAAAGACTACTGAGAAGTGGGAAGAGGGGGGGTGAGATGGCCGCAGGCAGAGGACCCACGAACACAAAGTGGAGCCTGGGAGCAGGATGCGTTTGGAGAAATAAAGAAGCTCAGTGCAAATCCAGCCTGGATGTGAACAGGAACAGAAGATGCCCAAAAGGTGGGCACTGGTTGGGTTGTGGTGTCTGTAGTGTGCCAGGGCCTGCCTGGGCCAGCTCTCCGGTGCTGACTGCACATCTCCTTCTAACTCCAGTGATTTTGTGTTGGTATAAGACGAATTCTACCACAGAAAGGACAAAAAAGGCAGGTGATTTGAGTTTCCAGGCTGGCTTGAGCAACTGCTCTGACGATGGCATTGTTCACTTGATGAGGAGTATTAGAATGGAGGGATCAAAGCTCCCTGTTGACCTTAAGGTTGAGGTGCTTGAGTGACAATGTGGGGGTGTCTGGCAGGCAGCTAGATACCTGGATCAATCCCTTTCTGTCTGATCACACTCTCCTAGCAGCACAATAGTTCAACTCCATTTGACTTGGTGCTATCCAACCTGTCCGAGGCCCTTCTGTTGAAATGACATGTGTTAGATATACGAACAACAAATCTCAGGTCTTCCATGGAACCTATACAATAAGCAATTTTGATGTTCTTATTCATTTTAAAAACTCCCATTTAATCTCTCAAATTATTAACATCTAAACCTGCTTTCCTTGGGAAATATATCCCAAGAAAGATAGCACTCAAAAATGGCTGACTTCCTTGCTAGCTAATGTGGGCAGAGTTACCTCTGTTCTTCCATGGCTAACAAAAAAACAGACTCCATGCTGTGGCATGGGCACAGGTCATAACAACATATGCATTAAGGTAGTGACGTATAAATTTTGTTTTCTCTCTTTATTATCATTTAAAATATATTAAAATTTTAACATGGCAGAAGCAGGAATTTTAACTGCACATGGCAGTCTACAAAAAGCAAAACAACAAACAAAACTCCACAGAAACAAAATTTACATCAACCAATAATATATTAAAATTTCATTTAGGTAAGGATCTAAAGAAATGTTATATATGCACACATCTTAGAGTTTATTTTCTTCAGTGAAAAAAAAAATGTAAAGCTTGAGAAATTCTCCAAGCAGAATCAACTTTCTTAAACCTTAACATTCTTAATGAAGCAAGTGGACATAGAACCTCTTTTTAGAATCTATTCCCTCTTTCTCTCCACCCACAGATGGTGGCTCTCCACTGCCGGGAGAGCATTTATAGCTGTTCCTACCTGTAAAAGTAGTAACAAGTGTCAGAAAAGAGGTACTTGTCTTTCAAAACTGTGGGACTGATTCCACACAATTTAAGCCTCGGATACAATCACTTACAAAACACAAATAAAGCCTGACAACAAATCGGAATGTTTCAAACAAAGAATAGGTACCACGCTCCCTACTTTAGAGATCTTCCCTTTGAACAGTGTGTCTCCGTTTTTAAAGATGCACACAGCCCCAGATGTAATATAACACAGCTCCTTGTTACAGGGGTTCTGGCAGACCGTGGTGGAAATCAGTCAGTCCTGAAATGCCCTTCAGAGTGGGAGCAGGGAGGAGTTCTGTGCAGGTGAGGGTCTGGCCCACCAGCCACACCAGTGTTAGGACAGGGTCCCCTGAGGCCCCGCTGATGGTGGAGGGTCCTCAGAAGGGTCTCTCCAGCTTTCGGAAGTGCGCACCTCGCCGTCCTCTTGTTAATCCTGGTCACACTCCTTTGTGGAGGCTCCAGGAAACCTTGGGAGCACAACCAAGAAATGGATAATGGAACAAAAAGGAGAATGAATGAATCATGAAAACATGTGCTTCTTCTTCTTATTTTTTAGAGATTCACACTTTCCTGAGTAAAGTACACAAAAATCTCACGTGAAGTCTTTTGAAAGCACCAGGCCTCTAGGTCTTAGACTAGCTGTGCTCCATGGCAGATCTGAGCCAAGCTCGACGTTGTTCTGGTAAAAACATTAACAATGTATTCGTGAACGCTGCTTTTCTAATATTTTACCGCTTGACAGTGTTATGCTTGTAAATGGAAAATGGTTTCTTTTCTGGTGACGGAGAAGAATAAAGGTGGATGTGTGGGCTTCTTTGGTCTGTCTTGCAAACACATTAGAGCTGAACGGATCCCACCAAAGATAACAATGTTCATAAACCAGACCCACAGATGGGCCTAAGCCTCTGAATCATTGGCACTGGACCAGTCATCAAAATCCTCTAAACATGTAAACAAATCACAGACACTTTAAAAAGTCCAGATTCAATGTGGATATGGCCATTGGACATTCACATCAAATTAATGTGCTCCACTTTTATTGCTGAAAGAGCGCAGCTCCTGGTGCCAGAGGGGTTCAGGGAGCGCAATCATCCCTTGACTTCTTGGCCTGAGACAGTATCTTCTTCAGGGAGGTCCTGGGAATTCCTGAACATCAGGATAGAATTGTAAATTTTCAGTGCTGGGCCCAGTTTGATCTTCATCACTTTGACAATGTCTGTCTGTGTCAGAAGCAGGAAGGCTTTGCCATCAATCTGCTGCAAATACATAAATAGACACAAACAAAATTGTTTTGTCACGGAAGCCTGTTTACTCACCAGTAACACTTAGGTTCTGAGTGTGACGCGGAACCCGTCATAGCCTCCGTGTTGAGCTCACCAGTGAGAGAGAATGACAGCAGCTCTCACTTGGCTTAGTTACAACCATTGCTCCACTTCAGTTCTTTCTTCTAGAAATTTGAAGTGAAATTTAAAAGGAGCTCACTCTGTTAAATACGAACTCAATATACATGATCTGTTCCTAGGCTAAGTTTCTATTGTTGTGTTTTAAAAAGGTTGGCTTGAATTTATATCAAGACCCTTAAAACCAAGTCAATCCCCAGGAATTTTTCCCAAGAGAATAACGTGCAATGTGTATACTCTAGTATTATTTATAATACTGAAATCGTGAAAGCAACCCAGTGTTCCCAATAATAGCAGAAATAAATAATACTATAGTAAGAGTGGGCTACTATGCGGTCACCCCAAATCAAGTATCTATGAAACATTTAATGATTTAGGATTTTTTTTATAGATCAGTAAACAACAGAACATGGTATATGATAGAGAAGAAATTCAGTTTTACTTTGTACAATTAAATATGCATGGCTGCATGTATACATATGCATATCTAAAATATTTGAAGTCTTTACACCAAATGTTAACATAAATTGTCTTTGGATGGTAGAATAGTGGTTAGTTTTTATTTAATCCTTTCAACTTCCCTGTTTTTAAATTTTTAAAAGAATACATACCAGTATAAGCAAAAATACATACAAAATAAATGTTTTATTTATTAAACTTTGAAAATATATTTCAAAACTTGCACAGAATGATGTTTGGCTCAATATGAATAAGATCTGGGGCTCTGATGTATGGCATGGGTGGTAATGGAAAGAGTTAATTTGACTTTGGTAATCATCACACATTGTATATGTATATCAAATCATCACATTATACACCTTGAATATATTCAATTTTGTTTTGACAATTAAATATTTTTAAATTAAAAAGATATTACAGCATGAACTGTAATAGCTTCCCTGAGACTCACAGGATGGCAGTGGCCACTGTGTAGGCTGCTTCCCCCAGCTTCTGGATGTCCCAGTGACCTCAGCACAACATCTGGGACTGCTGCAGCATCGCTGATTGACACAGCCTACCTCAGATGATTCCTAGCTCCAGAACCAAGAAGGCAGGAATGGGAGGGTTTTCTACGGAAACACTCTTCCACGAACTTAGCACTGTGGTTCTAAACCTTTTCAAATTTAATAGTACAAACCCAAGCCAGTTGTGGTGGCTCATGTCTGTAATCTCAGCACTTTGGGAGCCCGAGGTGGGCAGATCAATTGAGGTCACAAGTTTGAGAGCAGTCTGGCCAACATGGTGAGACGCCCCATCTCTACTGAAAATACAAAAATTAGCCAGGCGTGGTGGCATGTGCCTGTAGTTCCAGCTACTCAGGCAGGAGAATTGCTAGAACTCGGGAGACAGAGGTTGCAGTGAGACAAGATTGTCCCACTGCATTCCAGCCTGGGCAACAGATCAAGACTCCACCTCAGAAAAGAAGAAGGAGAAGGAGAAGGAGAAGGAGAAGGAAAAAGAAGGAAGAAAGAAGAGGAGGAGGAGAAGGAAGAGGAAGAGGAAGACGAAGAAGAAGAAGGAGGAGGAGGAGGAAGGAAGGGGAGGGGGAGGGGAAGGGGGAGGAGAAGGAGAAGGAGAAGGAGAAGGAGAAAGAAAGAAGAAAGAGGAGGAGGAGGAGGAAGAGGAAGAAGAAGACGAAGAAGAAGGAGGAGGAGGAGGAGGGAAGGGGAGAGGGAGGGGGAAGGGGAGGAGGAGAAGGAGAAGGAGAAAGAAAGAAGAAAGAAGAGGAGGAGGAGGAGGAAGAGGAAGACGAAGAAGAAGAAGGAGGAGGCGGAGGAGGAGGGGGGAAGGGGAAGGGAAGGGGGAGGGGGAGGAGGAGAAGGAGAAGGAGAAGGAGAAGGAGAAGGAGAAGGAGAAGGAGAAGGAGAATCCTGTAGTGTCAATGTCTCACTGATAGAATTTCCCTGGGACCCGAGGGGTAGGGTTTTAAAGTTTTAACATTTAAAAAAGGTTTTAAAACCTTTCTGTGCATTTATGATATATTGTCTGATAAGGATTCATCCATCTAGAGGAGGAAGCACTTTTCCCCTCGGAAAAGGCATTTTCCCCAAGGCAGAGGAGAGAGAATGAGCCTACATCCATACCCTGACCTGGCTCAGGTCCAGCATTTTCAGGCAAAAATCGCTGTCCAAATATAAGGTCCTAAGAATAAGGTCATGATGGTGATGATAACAGCTAACAGTTATGGAGCTATAATAATCTATTATATGGGTTTGATCCCCTGATAACCCTGTAATATAGGAGAGGAAACCTGGAATTGCAAGCTTCATGACTTGCCCAAGCTCACACAGCTTCTAAGGAGCAAAGTTGGGATTTCGGGCAGGGCTTGTTGGAGCCCAGAGGAGACCCTCTGCTGTATACTGCTGCCTTTATTAAGCCCCTACTTTGGGACAAGAACAGGGCTCGGTGCTTCAAACATGATCATCCTAATCTTTAAGGGCCCCTCTCGTAAATCTGTGTTTCAGAGAGGAGGGATAAGAGGGGTTCAGCAATCTGTTTAAAGTGACAGTTCTGGTCAGTGAGTGCCAAATATAAGCAAGTCAGCCTGCAAAGAGCCACTCCCTCTTCCCCTATGTGGACAGACTTGAGGACAAGGCGGGCCTTGGGCATCACTACCTGCAGAGTGGACTGTATGTGTGAGCGTGGCTAACTATGCCCAAGCCAGGCTGAGCTCAGGCAGAGGCAGGCGAACCCCACATGCAGCAGCTACCCAGACTGAGACCATCTGACCTTGATGCTGAGTTCCTCTACTGTGCTTGGAGGGGTCCAGAACCCAAAACTCAGTGAGCACTTCCCTTAACCCATGCATGCTCTGAACCTGAGAGAGGGAGAGGTGCGTACTGCCTTTCAGTTTCTACGAGGGTGGTTTTCTTGGAGAGTTCTAGAGCAACAACGGAGGCTCTGAGCTCTCAGATGGATATGAGCTGGAATCCGACTGTGCCCTTTTCTTGCTCTGCCTAACCTTCCTGGGCCTGAGCTTCTTCATCGGTAAGCTGCCATTGTAGAGTTGTCACAAGGATCAAAGGACAATGGTTGTAAAATGCTTAGCACCGTGCCTGGCACGTGGCAAGCCCCTGATACACCATCACTGGGATTAGTATGTGCATCATTCTGTAGCTGGTCCAGTCTCTTCCAGGGCTCCTGTAGCTATGGATACTAATTCCAGGAAATATGCGAAGCAGATCAGTATGTTCCCAACCAAGACGGGGCAGAAGATAGAAACCCCCGAGAAGGATTTGGGGCTTCTCTGGAAGCAAATGCAGGGCAGGGATAGGTAGGAGGGTCCCACGCTGACTCTGGAGTACACACATCTCCTCTCTTTCCCAGGCGCAATCCCAAAGGAGGATTCCTGCCTTCCCCCAAATGGCTTCAAGCCACCAACGGAGAGGCCTCATGACACCGATAGGTAATAATTAATTATCTTGTTCATTTACTCTTCCAGCAAATAGTATATGTACTGAGCATGCTGTATGCACCAAGCACCATGGCATTCTGCAACAAAACCTAGCAAAATATAAGAGGACTGAAGGCAGAGACTGACCCTGCTTTGGTCTCACACTGCAGAATTGGGCTCTATTCCTGCTGGATCTCCTTTCTCTTGCTGCCCCAAATTGTACTTATTTACACTTAAGTAAATGATAACAAAACACTTCTGGGTCTAGAAGTATATATATATATATACACACACACACACACACACACACGCATTTCTTACCTCTTTCTTAAAGCACTTGGCATGTTCTTCACAGCCCAGAAGAGACTGCACAAACTCAGCCACCTATAGTGCAAGATGAAAAGCCTAATTTAATACATGCACCTGAAATAATTTTAGGGTTGTAGTAATCTAACATTTAAGTAAAATATACTTAAAGTCTCTCAAACACTTGGGAATTAAATAGTATCTATCAAGTTGCATGAGCATTTGTCAACTGAGAAATTAGACCAGCCCCCAGTATTTTTTCTGTCCTCTTATTACTGGACTGACCTGCACCGGGTTATGGTTATAATGATGACAGTAACAGCCTCCATATGTGAAGCTCTGGCATTCTGCAAGTTCTCTCTCTGATTCTCCTGACTCCCCTGTGGGGTCAGTGAGGGCGAGGCCAGTGGACTTGTGCAGCAGTTATCACAGCAACAGGCAGGAGTGAGGACCTGCCCGCTTGCCTTTAAAAGGCAGACCCAAAGGCAAGGCCTTCTCCTACTCATCTCTGTGGCCCAGTTCCTTACCTGGAGCCTGGTGAACCACAGGCGATCAGAGAATCTATGCGGAGCTGAATTCCCACATAAATGATGGTTAAATGAGGTTCAGCACTTACCCAGGGCCATACACGGTTGGTAAGTAGCAGGGACATTTTGGAATTCAGGTTTGCTATCTCTAGGCCCTACGTTTTGGAGAATCAGTCTCTTCATTTCAACTTCCCACCCTCACCATGCCCCCACATGCCCCCAAATATCCTTTTAACAAGAGAGAGCTCAGACAAAGACCTGGCTATCGGCTCAGGAAGCCACTGAGTGCTCCTAATAGATACCTTTGGGAAGCTGATTGAACAAACATGATAAAGGGTAGACTCCCAACATCAGAAACGACAGCTGGGTGGTCTGCACTACTGCCTAACTCCAGTCCTGTCGCAGCAGGGGATGAAAGGCAGGCTGGAGTGCAACAGTAAATGTCATCTCGGGAGGTGATACTTCTAGGGGAACTGTCTTGTTTGTTTTGGTTTTTTTGGCTCTCTGCTTCTTGTGTCAACCGAATTGTGGGTGCTGGCCCTTCTCCTCTCCCTGGTTTCATGGGGAAGGTTCTCGAGGCTGGAGAGTGCAGTGTATCAACACGTCCCACCCTCAGAGAGCTCTGTGAGCACAGGCTCCCTCCCAGCCTCTCCAGGAGAAGTCGGCCGACGCTGCCCCTGATGGTGCAGGAGATAGCACCAGGTGTTTGCTGATCCCAGGTGACAGAGCAGTAAGGGCCAACTCCCACAGGGCGTACCCTAGGGCTGGACACCTGTGCCCCTCCTGAGCTCTGTCCCCTGTGGTCTCACAGCTATATTTAGTCAGTGCAAATGTGAAGAGTTCAGAATATCTTCTTTTTAGGGGTGATCTGCATGTCCATGTCTGCTTTACTCACCCCTGGCGCTGCAAATATATTCTTGAGTCGTTTTACAATCTTCATATAAAGTTTGGAGTGATAGGGATTAAAAAAAAAAAAAAATTCCACAGCAGCCATACTGCTGTCATCCAGGTTCACCTCCAAGCCCCAGGAGCATCTGTGCTAGTGAGTGCCTCTGCTGGCTGGGCTCTCAGTATTATGAGTGAATTCACCCGAGAACCCGACACTGGCAATTCAGGCAGAGGAAGCCGAGTCTGTTTGCTGGGCTAATACAGTTTTCTTGTTCTAGGTGAGAAGGAAGCATGTAGAGCACGTGCTCAGTACTTGCTGGGAGCTAATGAAAGCTGTGGAATGCCACTGGTCAAACTGCAGAGACAGGGCAACTGGGGCAGGTGATGGCAGTGGCAGTGCAGTTGGTGGCCCAGGACATGGAGAGTGGCCTGGCTCCGTCATTCCCCAGACCACTCTGCTGGTCATATATACTCCAACCCTGCCTGCGTGTGAGGCCTCAGGCTGGCTGCTAGAAGAGCTGCCCTGGGAGCTTGTTGTGCTTGAATTTTCAATGAGTTGATTTGATTAGTGGTGGGAGGATTGAGGGGAACCGGGAGGACATGAAAGCTTATCACTCACTACAACATGTGGTCAAATGTGCTAACACCCTTGAGAAAGGTAGGAAGGCTATGGGTGTTAGGAAGGGACTCCACAAATCTTAGGTGGGACTTCAGGAAGGACATCAGGAAGAAGGGGGACCGTGAGAGGGTTACTGTTGGATGCACAGTATTTCCACCGTGGCGATTTGGGGTGGATGGGCGGGGGAAGAATTCTAGGCATAGAGAATCCCAGGAGCAAACCCCAAAGCAGGATGAAAGGCAGGCTGGAGTGCAACAGTAAATGTCATCTCGGGAGGTGATACTCTAGGGAAACTGTCTTGTTTGTTTTGGTTTTTTTGGCTCTCTGCTTCTTGTGTCAACCGAATTGTGGGTGCTGGCCCTTCTCCTCTCCCTGGTTTCATGGGGAAGGTTCTCGAGGCTGGAGAGTGCAGTGTATCAACACGTCCCACCCTCAGAGAGCTCTGTGAGCACAGGCTCCCTCCCAGCCTCTCCAGGAGAAGTCGGCCGACGCTGCCCCTGATGGTGCAGGAGATAGCACCAGGTGTTTGCTGATCCCAGGTGACAGAGCAGTAAGGGCCAACTCCCACAGGGCGTACCCTAGGGCTGGACACCTGTGCCCCTCCTGAGCTCTGTCCCCTGTGGTCTCACAGCTATATTTAGTCAGTGCAAATGTGAAGAGTTCAGAATATCTTCTTTTTAGGGGTGATCTGCATGTCCATGTCTGCTTTACTCACCCCTGGCGCTGCAAATATATTCTTGAGTCGTTTTACAATCTTCATATAAAGTTTGGAGTGATAGGGATTAAAAAAAAAAAAAAAGTTCCACACCAGCCATACTGCTGTCATCCAGGTTCACCTCCAAGCCCCAGGAGCATCTGTGCTAGTGAGTGCCTCTGCTGGCTGGGCTCTCAGTATTATGAGTGAATTCACCCGAGAACCCGACACTGGCAATTCAGGCAGAGGAAGCCGAGTCTGTTTGCTGGGCTAATACAGTTTTCTTGTTCTAGGTGAGAAGGAAGCATGTAGAGCACGTGCTCAGTACTTGCTGGGAGCTAATGAAAGCTGTGGAATGCCACTGGTCAAACTGCAGAGACAGGGCAACTGGGGCAGGTGATGGCAGTGGCAGTGCAGTTGGTGGCCCAGGACATGGAGAGTGGCCTGGCTCCGTCATTCCCCAGACCACTCTGCTGGTCATATATACGCCAACCCTGCCTGCGTGTGAGGCCTCAGGCTGGCTGCTAGAAGAGCTGCCCTGGGAGCTTGTTGTGCTTGAATTTTCAATGAGTTGATTTGATTAGTGGTGGGAGGATTGAGGGGAACCGGGAGGACATGAAAGCTTATCACTCACTACAACATGTGGTCAAATGTGCTAACACCCTTGAGAAAGGTAGGAAGGCTATGGGTGTTAGGAAGGGACTCCACAAATCTTAGGTGGGACTTCAGGAAGGACATCAGGAAGAAGGGGGACCGTGAGAGGGTTACTGTTGGATGCACAGTATTTCCACCATGGCGATTTGGGGTGGATGGGCGGGGGAAGAATTCTAGGCATAGAGAATCCCAGGAGCAAACCCCAAAGCAGGACAGCACAGGGCCAAAGGGCAGGTGTGAGGAGCTGGAGGAGTGCAGTTTGACTGAGCTGAGGAGTAGACAGGGAGTGGCGGGAAGTGGGGAGGGCCGCGTGGTTCCAGGTGTGGGTCTGTACTTCCTCCACAGCAGCAGGGAGCCCTAAGCCCTGGCACTCCACCCTGGCGGGACACTGGAGCTTTCACGCTGACTGTTGTCCAGGCCTCATGCCACACAGATGATAAATTAATGGAGCTGGATTGGGTCCAAGCACTGGGTAGATATTTTTAGAGCTTCCCAGTTGGTTCCAGTGTGCACTGAGGGCCGAGAACCACAGCGCTGCAGGAAGCTAGAGGAATGGTCCAGCAGGGTCTGGACGGACTTGTGCTGAGCCTCAGGGCTAGGCAGGGCAGGAATCAAAGATGAACACAGGAGAATGCTGTAAAGCCACGTTCCTCAACCTCAATACGGACACCTCAGGCCAGGTAACTTTTTGCTGTGAGGGCTGGCCTGGGTGTTGTGGGATGTTTAACGGCATCCCTGCCCTTTACTCACAAGGTGCCAGTAGCAAAGCCCCCTTCCCAGTTGTAACAACCAAAAATATGCCCAGATGTTGCCAAATGCCCCTGGGGGCATTGCCGCAGTTGTTCTGCTGGGCTCACTTTTTCACAGGAAGGAGGGCTGAGTGTCGCAGGAGGAAATAATAGAGAAGAGGGACCAGTAACTAGCTAAGGAACCATGTTTTGTCGGATGTCAATCACTCACTGCAGTGGGAAAGCCACGTCAGCACAGGGACAGTGGTTTCCCCACTGCTAGGGGAAAGAAGTGGTTGGTTGGAAACATGGTCTCTTTTCCATACTTGTTCAAAGGACCGTTCACAGCAGAAGTGTTGCAAGTTGCTTTGACGGTTTGCCTATGTTAAACTGTCCTTTTCTGGGCAAACAAAAAAAAGACCACAGTCTTCCTTCTCAGTATCATTGGCCAAGAAATCATTGTCAATGTATGAAAGGTAAATTGGATTTTTTTTAAAGGAAATAAATAACGTGTTAAACCAAAGCATCAACAGAGCAGACGCGGCTCTGCCCCGAGGTGGCCTCTGCCTGGCCTGCAAGTAGCACTTGCCGTCTCCACCTCATCCTCCACCTGGCCACCCTCCTCAGCTTCACACTCCTCCGAAAGGCTCTGCCATTTTGGAAAGAGATTCCCATTCGATTCAGTTTATCTTTTCTTTTTCCAAAATAAGGAACAAGTTCCATGAACTCTATTAAGCAGACTTCTCTGGCCAAGAATTTTAAAATATGCAAAGGCCTTGATTCAGTATTATTAGTTGGTAATTACTTCCCCTACAAATAAATTGTATTTTGAGCTTTCATAGAAAGCTTTGCTACAGATTTTCTCAATGAAAGCGGTGAGTTTTAGCATAGAATAGAGTAACATCAAGAAGTTTCCCTTTCATTCTCCCATTAAAAGAGAGAGATATTTTTTCTTCACGTTTGTGGAA